TATGTGTGTGTGTTCAACACATGAAAGCATAATTTATGAGACGACAAAATGCAAATTATCTTGAGAACAGTTCGAAGTCTGCATTGAGAAAACAAAACATACAAGCCGAGAAGGTCCATTTGACTTGCATTTCTGTAACATAACGAAACCCTGAAAATCGCTTTCCCAATGCGTAACGTTGATGAATAAGGCATGTTTGGGTTATTTTGGTTATTCATAGGACAAGCGGATCAGCAGAAAGTACGGCCGAAGTTTTCGCGGAATGCGGGCGGAGGTAGTACGGCCACATGCTAATTGGGGTCCACGCATTTCAGCCATTCCCATCGCTTCAACAGAAGGCCTCCTTGATGTAGGGATCTATCGCGGAAATGTTAACAGTGATGTCTTCTTGGATTTTGTTCATGACCACTTGGCCCCTAATGTCAATCCTTTTAACGGGATCAATCCGCGCTCGATCGTTGTAATGGGTAAGTTCATTGTTCTTTGGAAAAAGATGTATAGGCTCAATTAACCATGCAGACTGATACCTTACCATTCTTTTTACTTTTATATAGTGATTATTATCTCACAAAAGCAGCCAGTCCACTTAAGAATCATTACAGAGATACCAAGGTCAATACACTGTTCAATAGCAAGTGGAAAATGAACGTTAAACAGGCGTTAGCTGTAATTTTGGTAGAAGGATTTCGGCCAGGCGCAGATGCATTGAAAACAAAAGTTGAGTTATTAACCTTTTCCTTTCTGTTATTATTTTGAAAACAGATAATGCTGCGATTCACCATACTGCCGACGTTGTGAGGGCAATAAACGCCACTGGTGCTCTACTCGTCTACCTCCCTCCATACAGCCCCGACTTCATGCCGTGTGAGGGAATAATTTCGCAAGTGAAGTCGTGGATCAGAGAAAATGATCAAGAATGGCGAATGTGTGATCAACCCGAAAACATGGTCATGGAGGGATTTTTAAGCGTTTTCGACGAGCAAGTGCGAAACTACATTCGACACTCTGAATATCTGTAAACTAACATGCACTCTACAGGGACGTAATTAGTCAACCAGCCCTCAAACTGACCTGTTAGCCCACTAGTACCTATGTT